CACTTGAACCCAGGAGTTAAAGGGTGCTGTGAGCTATGATGCCACAGCACTCTACCAAGGGCAACATAGTGAGACTCTGTCTCACAAAAAACAATTTGTTTTAAATGAAAAAAATTGGCTCAGTCCCCATAGCTCAGCAGTTAGAGTGCCAGCCACATACACCTAAGGCTGCTGGCTTCAATTCCAGCCCAGGCCTGCTACACAACAATGACAACTGCAACAACAACAAAAAAAAAGCTGGGCATTGTGGCAGGTGCCTGTAGTCCTAGCTACGTGGCAAGAGAATCACTTAAGCCTAAGAGTTTGTGGTTGCTGTGCGCTGTGATGCCACGGCACTCTACTGAGGGTGATATAAGATGACTCTGTCTCAAATAAAAAAGAAAAAGAAAAAGAAAAAATTTAACAAAACTTTGGTGGTGATGGATAATACATAAAGGTCTTAGGGAAGTATAAATGGATTTCCAGGAAAGAGAAAAAAAATTATTCAGAATATCTGAATAAATGGCAGAAAGATTCCCCAAAATAGTAAAAGACATTTATTTTCATATTAAAAAAGATAACCAAACACTAGGCAGGATAAATGTAAAGAAAACTGCCCATAGGCTCATCATCTTGAAACCACTAAAAACTAAAAGTTAAGAGAAAACAGCTAGAGAAAAACAACCCATTACATCCTGGTGAACAATGATTTGAATGACAGTTGACTTATCAGAAACTATAGAGGCCAAAGACAGTAATGGATAAAAACACATTCAAGCTAGAATTTTATTTCCAGTGAAAATATCCTTCAAGAATCAGAGTGAGAGGGCAGGCATGGTGGCCTGTAATCCTAGCACTTTGGTAGTGCAAGGCAGATGGATCACTTAAACTCAGGAGTTCGAGACCAGCCTGAGCAAGAGTGAGACCCTGTACCTATTAAAAACAGCCAGGCATTGTGGTGGTGGTGGGGGCCTGTAGTCCCAGCTACTGGGGAGGCTGAGGCAAGAGAATTGCTTGAGGACAAGAGTTTGAGGTTGCTATGATCTGTGACATCACTACACTCTATGGGGGAGTAGAGGGAGGAGGGAGGAGGAAGAAGGAGGAGAGAGAGGACAGACATAGTGGTTCATGCCTATAATTCTATTACTTTGGGAGGCTGAGGCAAGAGAATTGCTTGAGGACAAGAGTTTGAGGTTGCTGTTAGCTGTTACATCACTGCACTCTATGGGGGAGTAGAGGGAGGAGGAAGAAGGAGGAAGGAGGAGAGAGAGGACAGGCATAGTGGTTCATGCCTATAATTCTATTACTCTGGGAGGCTGAGGCAAGAGAATTTCTTGAGGACAAGAGTTTGAGGTTGCTGTTAGCTGTGACATCACTGCACTCTATGGGGGAGTAGAGGGAGGAGGAAGAAGGAGGAAGGAGGAAGGAGGAGAGAGAGGACAGGCATAGTGGTTCATGCTTATAATTCTATTACTCTGGGAGGCTGAGGCCAGAGGGTCACTTGAGTTCAGTAGGTTGAGAGAAGCCTAAGGAAGAGCAAGATCTACCCCTGGAAAAAAATAGAAAAATTAGCCAGGCATGGTGGCATGTGCATATAGTTCCAGCTGCTCAGGATGCTTAAGCCTAGGAGTTTCAGGTTGCAATGTGCTAAAATGATGCCATTGCACTCTACCCAAGGTGACAGAGTGATCTCAAAAAAAGAAAAAAAAGATTACAAATTAAAATAAAACAAAGACATTTTTAGAGCCAGGTGTGGTGGCTCACACCTGCAATCCTAGCACTTGGGAGGCCAAGGAGGATGGATTGCCTGAGCTCACAGGTTTAAGACCAGCCTGAGCCAGAGCAAGACCTATGGCAGGCACCTATAGTCCCAGCTACCTGGGAGGCTGAGATAGGAGAATCACTTAAGCTTAGGAGTTTGAAGTTGCTGTGAGCTGTGATGCCGTGGCACTCTACTAAGAGTGACAAAGTAAGACTCTTGTCACACACACAAAAAAAACCCCAGACTTTTTAGATAAAAACAACCAAGAAATTACATTGCTAGTAGATCTGTAGTATAAGAAGGAAATACTAAGGCCTGTAATCCTAGCATTCTGGAGGGCCAA